AGGACATGCCTTGTTAAGGTCGGTGTAGTCGATGCACATCCGAAGCTTGCCGTTCGCCTTGGGAACGACCACCGGGTTCGCCAGCCACTCCGGATGGATGACCTCACGGATGAATCCGGCCTCCAGAAGTCGCGCCACCTCCTCGCGGATGAAGGCTTGACGTTCCGGGGCCTGCCGTCGCACTTTCTGCCGGACCGGCCTTGCGCCCGACCGCATGGCGAGACGGTGCTCAATCACCTCCCTGGGGACCCCGGGCATATCCGCCGGTCTCCATGCGAAGACGTCAGCATTTGCCCGCAGGAAGGAGACGAGCGCGTCTTCCTATTTGCCGTCCAGAAGACCACCGATCCGTGTGGTCTTGGACGGGCCGTCGCCCAGGGCGACCTCCTTGACCGGGACCTCATCGCATGTGATCATCTGCTGCCTCGGGGTGGCGGGGGCGGAGGCGCCAAGCCTCTCATCGCCACCCTCGGGCTTGGACGCGGCGGCGAGATGGTCTGCGCGCTGCTCCATGCAAGCAAGCGCGACTTTGAGGTCACCATGGACAGAGATGGGGCAACCGGGGCCCGGCATCTTCATCTGTAGGTAGGCGTAGTGGACCGCCGCCATGAACTTCACCAACGCAGGCCTCCCCAGGACCGCGTTGTAGGGCAGACTGAGGTCCGCCACATCGAAGTTCACCCGCTCCGTGCGGAAATTGGCGGATCCACCGAAGGTGACCGGCAGGTCGATGTGACCTAACGGCCATGTGTGCCCCGGCATCACACCGATAATCGGTTGAGACGGCCGGAGCACCATCCCCGGGGCCTTGATGGCGTCATAGGCCGCGGGGGAAAGGATGTTGAGGGCCGCTCCCCCATCAATGAGGACACGCCCCAACTTCACGTTGCAAACGGTGGGGGAAACCACCATCGCAATCTGCCCTCCCCGGGCAACGCACGGTGGGTGGTCGGTCTGGTCGAAGGTGAGGGCAACCTCCGACCACCGCGCCCGACGCGTCGCCTCATGAGTAGGGGCCGCGGCCAGAAGCTCTCGCTTCATAGCCTTGAAGCTCCGGCGAGAAACGTGAGCACACGCTCCCCCATCGACGGTGGCAATGGTGGCCCCAGGCTCTTGGAAACCTAGGTCCTCATCGCCATCATCGATGTCCTCGGCGGGGGCCTTCTGCTTGGCCTCACTTCGCCGATTACCGGAGGGAACCGCCGGGGACCTGCCCTCACGGCGCTCCTGCCTCCTCTCCTCCTCCCACTTCCTCGTTCGCTCTGCCAAACTTTTGACTGCGCGACAGTCCACGAGGTCGTGGAGGGAGGTGTTGTGGACGGTGCACCACTTGCCGGCTGGGCGCTCCCTGCTGGGAGCGCCGGCCTTTTTCTTTTTGTCGCTCGCAGGCCTGTCCTTTTGGGTGGCCCGCGAAGCGCCCTCGACGGCGAGGACATGACCCTCGTCGTCGAAATGGACTGACCTCTTCTTCCTCCTCCTGTCACGCCGCCCTGTCTGAGCGGCGGATCCGGGGGCGGCCGAAGCTGCCACACCGGAACCGGAGGGGTTCCAAGTCCAGGCCTCCTCCTTGCGAGCCACTCGGTCCGCGAGCTGAAAAAGCTCCGCGGTAGTCTGGGGCTCCTTGGAGGCGATCTTTTCGAGCATGCGGTTGTGCCGCACGCCCCCCCTGAACGCGTAGATTACCGCGTGTGCAGGGATGCATGGTATGGTGTTGCGGATTTGACAGAACCGCTGAATGTACGAGCGAAGTGACTCATCATCCCTTCGCTGTACTGCGTGTAAGTCCGCTTCTTCACCTGGGCGCGGATATGTGCCCTGAAAGTTCATGGTGAACTGTTGGCACAAATCCTCCCAGGAGTGGACTGACGCGGGTGGCAAGTTCATTAGCCAACCCCGCGCCTGCCCCTTCAGGGCCATGGGAAAGAAATTCGCCATGACCCTGTCGTCACCCCCGGCGGCCTCAATCCCGGTCGTGTAGACCTGGAGAAACTCGGCGGGGTTGACGCTGCCATCATATTTTTCGGCGATGGTGGGCCGGAACCTTGGGGGCCAACGGACATTCCGAAGACTCGCCACAAAGGCTCTACAGCCGACACCACCAACCGGGGGCACGGAGGGCTGATTCCCGCGTCCGTGTTGAGGTGACACTCTGGACGAGGAAGCGCCCTCCGTTGCGTGGGCAGCACTTCGGTCATTACGCCGGCGCTCGATGCTGGTGCGGGCGTCCGGCCCCCCACGCAGATCTTCCCGGATCGAAGGAGTCGACGAAGGAGTGGCGGCCGAATGGCGAACAGCGGCTGCCGCTCGTCGTGCCCTCCGTCTTGACGACGCGGAGCCGGTGGTAGCAGCACCAGAGGCCTTGGTGGCGGAGGACCGCCCACCAGCATCTAGGCGCTGCCGTGCCGTCATGACTAATTTGGCCACGTCGTCCAGCCATCGTTGGGCTGGAGACTCCGGGTCAGGACGACAGGCGGGTGACGTAAGAGCGCGCCCGCAGCTTGGAGCGCGCCCTGGGGCGTGCTGCCGTCGCCGTAGACGAGGAGGCGACGCTCCCCATCTCGCCGTTCTTCTCCATCGCCCGCGATCGGTGAAGTCGCGGATCTTTCGACCCTCTCAAGCGCCTCCCCCCGCTTAGGACTTTGGCGTGGAGGGGGCGGTGGAGTACGAGCTCGACGGCGTGGGTTCGGCTCCCCGTCGTCGCCACTCACACTCGGAGAGAGGTCATGCGCCTTTGCTTGCTCGGCCATCAGGCTGAACAGGAAAAGCTTGGCGCACACGGAAGAGTGCGAGAGCTCAGAAGACACACGCTGAGCCCCCTACCTGGCGCGCCAGATGACGGAGCTTGTGGCTCCTCACCGGGAGACCGCGCAGGCCCCCCTTTGCCGGTTCGGCCGGGGACTCTGGGTGAAATTCTAAGCTCTTGATGTGTGGAAGGATTGCGACAATCGAAAGAGCACAAGACACGGGCGATGTATACAGGTTCGGGCCGCTGAGAAGCGTAATACCCTACTCCTGTGTTTTTGGTGGATCTGTGTCTGAAGGAGCTACAAAGTATGAGCCAGCCTCTCCCTTGTTCTGGGTTCCGAATCCCGGAAAGTCCAGTCCAGTCCAGTCCAGTCCCCCCTCTAAGTGGGCAAGGTCCTCCTTTTATATCTTAAGGGGATACCACATGCACCATCTCCCTCTTTTCTGTGGGGACTTACCCTCCCTTTTCATAAATGGACGGAGATTTGTATAGTTGCCGTCCGAATGACCTTCTGATAAGACGGCCCATACCTACCTCCACTTCCGCCGGAAGCAGGTGCGACGTGGGATTATGGCTGTCTGCTGACGACATGACCAGTGTCAGACTGGTCACAAATCGCTCATTCTTGTCCACCACGTGTCAGTTTAGCAATCTACATGTTGGCCCTTCTTCACACAACATCTTGCCTGTAATGGTTAGGATGAAGCCTGGCATATATCTAACCAGGACTAACGTGCCATCTCTGGGAGGTAACACGCTAGCTCCAGCTGGGGACGAGCGCCTAGAAGCCCTCGTCCTGACGGGATGGGGCGAGGCGTGCGTCAGATCGCCTGTCGCCACCTAACCCGCGATCTGACCGGTCTGTGACTGGTCACAGACCGGATAAACGAGTGCACTGCACTGCGTTACATGCGGCGTGACACGCTCAGCCAAACCGCAATAAATGTGGTTAGGTGAGCCCCGCTGTGCTCACCTAACCCATACACGCGGAGAAAAAACCCACGAGGGGTCGGGGCGCCTCGGCCCTCGGGGCCGAGGCGGGTGCGGTCCGACCCCCTCGGGGGGACTAAGAGGAGGTCGAACACATCACCCTCGGGCCCGACGTCCCCCGAGGGTGCCAGGCCACGTGGGCGATTGCGTCTGCCTCAAACCTCTAGTCATGATACTCCTGATCCCATGTCACCGACAGCTACAGTAACCCATATGTGCTAATCACGAATTAATTAGGCTTAATAAATTCGTCTCACGGTTTTCAGGTGAGTTATGAAATTAATTTTTTCATTCGTGTCCGAAAACCCCTTCCGATATATGGTCAAATGTCCGATGTGACACTCAAAAATTTTCTTTTCGTGAACTAAACACACCCTAACTATTTTCGCTTAAATTGGGTGTCATGCATCCACTGACACAAAAGCTTTCAAAATCAACTAGCTATGCTACTGCTAGATTAACCCAGTTACAAAAATTTTCATGATCCAAAAGTAGATCATCGTCTGCTTCCAAAATCAGCACGATGCCTTCTAAGTTCTATTGACCTCTTCAAATGAACTTTTAAGATAAGATGACATCTTCAACATTAATAGAACCCTAGGGAAAAAAAGATAATATCCAAATTAATTGCGTGTGATGTGCGGCAGTAGGAGGTAAAGTATGCTTCCCATGGTAGAATTGGCGCCAATTCTTACTTCCCTCTCAGACTTTTCCCTCCAAAACACATCTGCTCGAGTCAGAGAGTAGTTGAATAGCTGGGGGGAAATTAAACAACGAATCTAAACCATCCCTTGTGTGCTGGATGGTTGGATGATGGATACTGCTAAAGTTACAGTCACAGTAGTGACTGCACCTGATCCGAATCCCATATAAATATACACAATAGACATAAAAAAGATAAGAATACCCTTACTGTCCTTCACAGTCTCGGGATCACCGTCTTGATGTGAAATTGAGAGTGTGGGAAGAAGAGAGGGTAAGGGAAGGCGAGATGGACCTATTGCCGCCAGTTGGCAAATGGCAGCAACCGCAAGTTACATTTGTATTGTGAGCACCTGCCACAGAATCTGAAGTCTGAACTCGATCTACGTAGGGAGAAATAAAATAAACAAATTAAAGTCAGTTATAAATAGTACCAACACCTTCTCTAGATCACACAATAAATTAAACTTCTAGACTTTGAATCACTCAGAAAGGTTACGGCAGTTTTTAATAGAATCTTGCTATACGTATGACCGAGCCATTCGACTCACTGAGCTTGTTTCTTGTCATCTGGACCCAAACAAGTAGTATTTATGCCTATATATACACTAACCGGATATAAGTTATAGTATGAGTTGGACCGACGCAGATTTAGTGACATTCCCCCGTGACATTCTCGGTGACAGGAGTCCCACACGTTAGTGACTCAATGTCACGGGAATGTCACCGGAGCAATGTCACCGAATCCCAATCCAAGTTGGAAGCATAGCAATTTCGTTTTTAATACGCCCAGTGAAATTTGCTGTCTAGAGACTCGTCCAAAATTTTCTACTAATACCATTTTTTTTCAGCAACTTGTCCGTAGAACCAACCATTGGCCAAATGGCCATAGATGAGATCGCCTAGGCGCCTACAAGGAAACGACGGGTCAGGTTGGACGAGAGCGCAGTGCCGTGAGTGAGACGCCCGCCGCGCGAGCGGACGAACATGGCGGCGGCAGCGGCGGCGGCGCACGTGCTCGTCTTCCCGGCGCCCGGGCAGGGCCACATCAACTGCATGATGCACTTCGCCACCGGCCTCGTCGGCGCCGGTCTTCACGTCACCTTCCTCCACACCGACCACAGCCTCCGCCGCCTCGGTGGCGCCGCGGCCGCCGGCGGCGCCGACTCGCCGCGGCTCCGGTTCATGTCCATCCCCGACGGCCTCCCCGACGACCACCCGCGCGCCGTCGGCGACATCGTGGAGCTCCTCGAGTCGCTGCGGACCAACGGCAGCGTCCCGTACCGCTCCTTGCTCGCTTCGCTCGTACGCGCAGGGGACGACGGCGCCTCCTCCGGCGGCTTCCCTCCGGTGACCTGCGTCGTCGCCGACGGCAGCATGCCGTTCGCCGCCGACGTCGCCGAGGAGATCGGCGTCCCGTCGCTGGTCTTCCGCACGGCCAGCGCGTGCAGCGTACTGGCCTACTTGTCAGTCGACAGGCTGTTCGAGCTCGGTGAGGTCGTCCTGTTCCCGGCCGACGGCGACCTCGACGAGCCGGTGCGCGGCGTTCCGGGCATGGAGAGCTTCCTGCGCCGGCGAGATCTTCCTGGCAACTTCCGGAACTGCACCGAGGACCAGAACGACCCCATCGTGCAGATGCTCATCGAGGTCACCGCGCACAGCCGCGGGGCGCGGGCGGTCGTGCTCAACACGGCCGCGTCCATGGAGGGGCCAGCGCTCGCGCACGTCGCGCCGCGCATGCGCGACGTCTTCGCCATCGGCCCTCTCCACGCCATGTTCCCGGTGCCGGCGGCCGCGGGCAGCCTGTGGCGCGCGGACGACGGCTGCGTGGCGTGGCTCGACGGGCAGCCGGACCGATCAGTCGTGTACGTGAGCCTAGGCAGCTTCGCCGTCATCTCGCTGGAGCAGTTCACGGAGTTCCTCCACGGGCTCGTCGCCGCCGGCTACCCATTCCTCTGGGTGCTCCGGCCGGACATGGTCGGGGCGAGTCAGAGCGCCGGCGCCCTCCGCGAAGCCGTCGCGGCGGCGGAGAAGAACAACAAGGCGCGCGTCGTGGGGTGGGCGCCGCAGCGGGACGTGCTGCGCCACCGCGCCGTGGGGTGCTTCCTGACGCACGCCGGGTGGAACTCGACGCTGGAGGCCGCCGGCGAGGGCGTGCCGACGGTGTGCTGGCCGTTCTTCGCCGACCAGCAGATCAACAGCCGGTTCGTCGGCGCCGTGTGGGGGACGGGGCTGGACATGAAGGACGTGTGCGACGCCGCCGTCGTGGAGAGGATGGTGAGGGAGGCGATGGAGTCCGGCGAGATCAGGGCGTCGGCGCAGGCGCTGGCGCGCGAGGTGAGGCAGGACGTCGCCGATGGCGGCTCGTCGGCGGCGGAGTTCGAGCGGCTCGTCGGGTTCATCAAGGAGCTCAGCAATCAGCATGATGGACAGTTCATACAAGCTTAACTCGAGCTATTCAATCTCCGAGTGATGATATTTTAAAGAAAAACACTTTCCCAACTATAGTATTGTTGTTGTGGCACTGACATGCCACCGTGTGCAGTCAATTGGTCATAGTTCCCTCTTTTCTCTAACAAAATTTACAAATTCAATTCTTTCATTGTTTGCGTTTCACCTCAATTTTCCTTTTGTCCCATTTTCATCCCTCACTTGTTGTATCGTCGATAATGGGCCAACTCGACTCGTTTGAGCTCACAATCGTCTTAGCAAGAAAACCAGGAAAAAACAAGTTGTTCGTGTTATACTTTGCGAATTATGAACTGATGAGAATGTAAATCATTTCCAACTGTCTTCAATGGGTGCTAGGCTTCTAAAAAAATTATGAATATACTTATTTTTTAATAATTTATGTTTATATACCTGCACGGGAAGAATTTTCATAAATATACCCGTCCCACGGGGTAAGGACGAGAGACTAAATGTTAGTTGCAGCAAAAAACACGGGACCGACGATCACACGGGATGGTCACGCGGTACTGTAGAATTGTCGCGCGACACCGCGGCGGTCCCCCGGCTCAAAAACGCGCCACCGTGGTGGCCAACGGTAGCGCACGGCACCGAGACGGTCCCGTGGCTCAAAAACGTGACACCAACACGGTCCCGCAATTCCATTGCACGGAACCAGCTCTGTGAACAGTAGCAAAGTCGGTGTCTCTATTGTGCTAAACAGTGTCAAACAGCATTATATATGCCCACCCTACGCATGCCACGGCCGGTGCCGCGCGACCATCCCGCGAGACCGTTGGTTCCGCGATTTTGCGTTGCGGCATACATTCGGTCTCGTGTTTTCACCCTGTGGGATAGATATATTTATGCAAAGTCTTACCGTGCAAGTATATACGTAAAGTTATTAAAAATAATAAGTATATTCGCAATTCTTTTTCCTAGGCTGCTAGCTACCCTTCATCCTTCATTCCTGCAACTGCCTTTCCGCTTGTCGTCGTGCCAAGTTCCTGGATTAACCGGTTTAACCCTATATATGATTAATGGCAAATAAAGAAGGGTTAATTGGATCCATGCCATTACAATTGTGTCAAATTAGAGAAATTCCATTACAAATCACCTATTTCGAAGCGTGCCATCCGTATTGATGTGAATCTTGATCCATGCCATAATTTGGTCGTCTCCCGTGTTTGGACGCGTAGTATCGGATACGTATATCCGTATGGACAGAAATGCCCCTTTCAGACACGCTCTAAATCTGGCCTGTTTCAGCTCGACCCGTTGGCTTGCTCACTCTATTCCCAGTCGAAACCCTAGCCCCATCCATTCCCCACTCCATTCCTCCCTATTCGCGCTCCAGATCTGGCTGGCGGCGGCATTTGTGGCGGCGGTGAAGGCGAGGATTCAAGCGGGAGAGATGCGCCGCTAGTAGGCCTTGGCAGAGGAAGTGTGATGGCGACAACCACCCCCCCGCGGACCCCTGGGCGAGATGGCGAGGAGATGGATGTAGGCAAATCCAATCCAACAATCTGTTCGAGGCCGTGAGTATCCCTAACCCTAAATCAATTGAAAGCTGTAATGTTGGGAGGCAAAGCATCTTTTTTCTGCATCATGCATCTTTGGCTTGCATTATTCTTCATGTGTGGTGATTTGTTTGGTAGGAACTGGTTTTCGGTAGACGTTAGGGTTCAAGGCTATGTGACAATAGATGCTGCTGGTAGGAAAATTTACACAAAAGGGTCAACTCATCAATGGGTTGTGGAATCAGATAGCTTTAACATTGAGTTTGTGTTGAGTAGCCTAAGTGTTGAGTTAACTTGTTGCCCAAATTAGTCTCCTGCCATATGGTATTTTCATAAGTTAATTGGTGAGGATGTGAGACTGTTGGAGGATGGCCAGATTCCAGAGTTGTTTGAAATGTATGTAGAAGAGAGCCACTTTGAGCTTATTGTATCCATCCTGGATGCTGCAAAGGGTGTGCCATTTGCTATAAATGCTTTAAATCCTATATGTGTGGTGCCTCCTGAAATCCCTGCTGAAATCCATCCTGAAATCCCTCCTCAATTCCCTGCTGACATCCCTCATGAAATCCCTGCTGACATCCCTACTGTTGGAGGTTCTGACCATCCTACAACAGAGGAAGCAGAAGTTAGAGAGGCAGATATCTTTGACAATGAAGAGGAGTATATTGGTGTTGATGATGAGCACATATATGTTCCTGCATCTAAACAGCAAGGTCAACCTGGATCTGAACCTCAGGGGGCTGCAGCTACTGCTCAGAGTGGAGAGAATGGTGCTAGTGCTAGTGCTATGGCAGCTCCTGAGGCACAGATTACAGATCATGATCCTCAGATTTATAACATCATTCATGACCCTGAGAATCCAAACATTGTCAAAGATGCTTTGTTCCCTGACATGATAGCTCTCAGAAAAGCTGTAAGGCATTATGCCATCGTGAAAGGTTTTGAATTTGCTAAAGGTTCGGTGAAGCCAGATCCTACAAGGTTTATTGCAAAATGTGCAGCTGATGGTTGCCCTTGGCATATATACATGCATCTCTGATTGAGGATAAGAAGACTGCAAAGGTGAATTCTTCACAAATTTCCTTTGTTTTCTTGTTCAGATGATGTTTACTTATGTGTTGCACTACTTGTCATGCAGATTAAGGTTCTTCCATTTGAGCACACTTGTTCTTCTACAAAGCTACATGAAGGGAAGATGGCTACTCAAGGCTGGTGTGCAAACAGGCTACATGATTGGCTCAAGACCAATCCTGGCAAGGGACCAACTGATTGTAGGAAGAAGCTTGAAGAAAAATACGAGATCAAGCTGAAATACTCCAAAGCATGGTCTGGTATGAAGAAGGCAATTGACCAGATCCATGGTACATATGAAGAAAGCTTCCAGCTTCTTTTCAACTGGAAGGCTGCACTGCAGAACAAGTCACCAGGTACAATTGTAGAGATTGAGTTGCAGAAAGTAGGCAAGAAGATGTGCTTTAAGAGAATTTTTGTTGCATTGAAACCTTGCATAGATGGATTTTTGGCTGGATGTAGACCTTACATAGGTGTAGATGCAACTAGATTAACTGGTAAATACACTGGACAGCTAGCTTCAGCCACTGCTGTAGATGGACATAACTGGTTGTATTATGTAGCATATGCTGTGTTTGACTCAGAAACAGATGATAATTGGCTTTGGTTTATGCAACAACTAAATAAGGCCATAGGAGACACAGAGGGTTTAGTTATTTCTACAGATGCATGTAAGGGTTTAGACAAAGCATGTAAGGCTTTCAAGAAGGTAGAGCATAGAGAATGCATGAGGCATCTCTATGCTAATTTCATGAAGAAGTACCAAGGGCCAGTGTTCACTGATCATCTGTATCCAGCTGCTAGATGCTATACTGAGGATAAGTTTCAGTGGCATTTGAAGCATATATGGGATGTCAGGCCTGATGCAATAGAGTTCCTAGAGAAACACCACTCAAGGATTTGGTATAGATGTGGATTTTCAGAACTTAGCAAGTGTGATTACCTGACAAATAATGTTTCAGAGAGTTTCAACAACCAGATCAAGGGCTTAAAAGGTTTGCTCTTACATGAGTTGGTTGATTCCATCAGAGAAATGATCATGGAGAAATTTGCACTTAGAAGAGATTGTGCCAGCAAGATGGATGATGAAATCCTGCCAAGTGTCATGAAGGAGCTAAACACTGCAACTAGTAATTTGAAGGTGGTTAAGGTGGCCAGAAGTGACCATGGGTTTGCTGAAGTCACAATGGTTGAGAGTGATAACAGCACCCAGAGGCACATTGTGGACTTGGACAACCAAAATTGTTCTTGTAGGGTATGGCAGGTCACTGGAAAACCTTGCAAGCATGCATTGGCTTGGATATGCAGCAACAGGGGCAAGATTCAGGACTTTGTGCATCCATATTACAGTGTCCAGTACTTTAGAGCAGCTTATGCAGGGAGGATTCAACCCATGACTGATAGGTCACAATGGCCTTCAGTTGATCTTGAGTTCAAAGTGCATCCTCCAAGACTAAGAAGAGGAGCTGGCAGGCCTAGAGTGCAAAGGATAAGGGGCTGTCTTGAGCCTGGGAGAAAGAAGGTGAAATGCAAGAGATGCAACCAGTTTGAGCACTTTGAGAAAACATGCAAACTGGCTGAACCACTATGTGAAGATGACATGGCTACTGAAGAAACACCCAGGAAAAGGTATGTACTGAACCCTTCCATTTTGATCTCTGATTTGATCCATGACTTCAGTACTTTTAACTATTGTTGAATCATGTTTCTTCTTTTCACTTGCAGGAGGAGGCCATCTAATGTGAATGCTGAAGCTAGCTCATCAGCACCAAATAAGAAGAAACATGAAACTCCAAAGAAGAAGCGAACACCACAAAAGAGGAGAGTTCTTGCTTCTTCCAGTGCTCCACCAAGAACTGCTCCTAGAAGGCTATCAGATTGGTTTGAAGGGTCTCAACCAACCAACCCAGCTTGATGTTCACCTAGCTGATTACTGGGATTTCTTTTGTAATATATGATGTCCCAAGAATTGCTGGTATTTGTGATGTGAATGCCTGTGTAAGTTAGCATCACAGAAGTGGGTTCCCTTTTGTAATATATTATGTGATGTAATGCCTAAGACACACCTATGTTGTGATGACTGGCAGACCTGTTTATTTTGTGATGTAGTACTGAAATGGCACTAAGACCTGCTTATTATGTATTCTGAGTTTGGCTGCAATGATGAATGTGAAGTTGGCTGCAATGATGAATGAATTTGCTCCATATATGTGACATTCTCAGATTTGTGTCGATTCGCTTGAAATACCAGATATGTAATGAATGAAATTGCTCCTTACATGTGCCATTAGATAAATTTGTGTTGGTCCATATATGACCTTATATTCATGAACTTGCTCGACATATGTGATTTGTGTTGGTCTGCTGGAAATTAGATAAATTTGTGTTTCTCTACTGGAAAACCCAGAAAATACCAGCAAATTTGTTGTTTTACTGCTAACATTCTCACATTGCCAAGTTTTGATAGTTTTTAGTTGAACTGAAATTTGGACATGAAAATCATGTTTGCTCACATATGCTGCTGAAAATCATGTATGAAAATCATGTCTCATAAGTCCCATTTTATCAGCTTTGCTCACATTTGCTAAAAATCTACAACTACAAATGCACGGGCCAATTACAAATGCACAATTACTCACATTTGCTCAAACTGAAACTAGGATTCATTACACAAGTCATTTACAATTACATATTGCACATTCACAGTAATTAACTATCCAAGATAGTTCTTCCCTACAACTACTGACACACAAAGAACACAGATAAACATTAGCATATACAGAACCCATTGGAGCATGGCCTTCTCTGATTCCATCTTGTGCTTCATCTCTGCAACCTCCCTCTTTGACTGATTCAACTCATCTCTATAGAGCTGCAATTGCGCCTCTTTTGCTTCCAAGATACTACACAACTCGATGTTGCGACCCTGCACATCTAACAACTGCCACCGCAACTCGTCACATGTCTCCCATAGGCTATCAAACTCGCCGGCGTGGCAGTATGCCACTATCTCCTCGACATACTCCCTGAGGAGATCCTCCCAGATCCATAAATAGCATCGTGCACCCTGCTGCTTGAAAGGGAAGGAAAGGGGATTGGGAAAGAAATCAAAGAAATGCAACTCAAAATTTGTCGTGGCCAAAGATTCACCTCTCCGCCGCATTGCAGCCATCGCCGGCCAGGATTCCTGACAGTCGTCGATGTGCCTGAAGCTGCCGGCCACCCGCAAGCACACTTCAGCTCGGGGATGTCGCACGCTGCTGCCCGGGACCGCTCCTCTCTACACCTGCTCGACCGAGAAAGGGTTCTCGATTGGGCGTCCATCGCAGTCACTCCCACGGTCGCCCAGAGATGCCGAGGGACTCACCGTCGCCGCCGCCGCCACCGCTGGCTAGGGTTTATGCCGCCGTCGATAGAATGGTTTGGGGACAGCGGAGGAGTGGTTTCTCGTGGTCGAGCCCAACCAAGTCGCCGATGTAACCATGTATGCAGGGGCATTTGCGACCATACGGAACTACACACCGGTCAAAATGAGTCAAAGCGAGCCTACGTCGTACGGCATGGCATGGAGACTATTCTGCGCGTATATGGATGGCACGCTTCGAAATAGGCGATTTGTAATGGCATTTCTCTAATTTGACACAATTGTAATGGCATGGATCCAATTAACCCAATAAAGAACCGCTTTCAACCCTGTTCAATTAAACTCAACTTCAACAAACGTTTTCCAGCCTCATTATTTGATTTCAATATAAGTTACCCCCTTGACAACTTTTGATCTATTTGGTTTTATCTAAAACGAGAAAAAAGGATGACCCCTAAAATGAAACATGTTTCTTCTATAATACTCTCTCCATTTCATCTGTTTTATATTATAAGTTGTTTTGATTTTTTTTAAACATATTTAAGTTGTCAAGTTTATAAAAAAAATTAGCAACATCTCTAACGTCAAATTAGTTATATTAAATCCAACATTGAATATATGTTGATAATATATTTATTTTGTGTTGTAAATACTATTGTGTTTTTTTGGGTGAAATACTATTGTGTTTTTACTATAAACTTAATTAAACTTAAAAAAATAATTAAAAAAAGTCGAAGTGACTTACGTTATGGCACACATAGAGTAATTGTCGATGCGCACCGGCGCAGCGAACAGGTTGGTGGCCTTGTGGGATCTTGGTGCCCCTCCTAGGTTGGCAGTGGATTTGTTCGACCGAGCGGCTGCGCTTCCGGTGTACTCGTGTTTCCACTCTGGGCTTGGCTCAATCTCAGGTGCAGCGAAGTACAGTGCGCGGCACACTGTTTAACAGTTTAAAAAGAGTGAGTGTGGAAAATGCGAGAGGGAAGTTGGGAAGAGGCTCTTCCGAGCACAGCCTTAGCTAGCTGGTGATGGAGCGGACGCGACGGTGGCCGGGGCTCGTGAGCTAGGTCGCCGGGCAGGTGCGCGCGACACGAGGTCGAGCAGGTAAAACGCAAAAGGCTGTAGGCTTGGGCGGCTCGGTTTGGTGGGCTGGCGGGAAATTGGGGGAAAGACGGCCTGACCTGCTTGGTCGGTTGGGCAGGCTGGCTCTGGTGGCTGGGCCATAATGGCTTGGTTGCCGAGCTGGTATCTCCGTATCTTGTGGATGGGCCAACGGCGGCGTGGTGGAGGAGCTGGCCGGGACCGTGTGACGACGACGAGGATGACCTGGAGCCGTCAGCGGCGCTGTGGAGGGGCCGTCGGTAGCACGGCGGAGGAGGTGGTGGGATGGGGGGATGCGGGAGGGGCGGTGGAGTTGAGTTTGCAAGTGGGCAATGCGCGTGGCGGGTGGGTGAAGGAGTAGATGTCGGTGGTGAGGAGTAGTAGGAATCGGCTCAGTGGGGGGATCTAGAGTGGAGTGCGCGGCGGGGGACGATGGTGGTGGTTGCGGGTGGCGGCGACGAGTGGGCGGAGGTAGGGCCAGCCCTGGGCCTAGGTCGGTTGTGCGACCGCCTAGGGTTAAGGCTGACAGGGCGTGATTACCACCCCTTCCCCCCTCCCCCTGCGGGCAGCCTAGCCCAGTGAGCAAGCGCAGCCTAGGAAGGAGGGAGGCGCGGTTGCGTTGCTAGGCCAGGAGTGAGGGCGCTGCCAGGCCGCGACGCGCGTCTCCTCCGCTTTGTTTCTCCTTTTTTTTCGTGAGTCTTGCGCGACTCCTGACTGCACAACCTAACCGCGACACGACACGTCTACTCCTCTCTGATATTCCCTCCGCGCAGAGCAGACCGGGGAGGCACAAGCACTTCGCCGCCTCACCGAGTTGTCAGGCGGCGGGCGCCTGGCCGGCTGGCTGCCGGCACGTCGGGCCGGCCTCTAATCGCTGACGCCTCACGCCTCTTCCCATCTCCACTCTCCATTCTCTTTTAGCCCTAAGTCCTAGGAAAACTAAGGTGTTTTTTGTTCTTGTGTTATTTCTTCGATTTTTCTAAGAAATTTAGGTTAGCAACTTATTACTTATGGACTTAGGATTTTCTTGCTTTGCATCATTGCATGATTTTCCCACTCCAAAAGTTAGATTATTTAGGCTATAATTTTTATGGTTATTGTTGTATAATTTACTTTGCAATTTTACTATTTCTGGTGTTACAATGTTAAAATTTTATTTTCGGGTGCTCAGAACGGCTTGGCTATGTGCAGCATTGAGAAGAATATCTTAGAGAGCATTGATCTCCAAACTTTCATTAATGATTTCGCTTCGAGAAATGCGCGAAGAAACTCTTTTTATAAGGGATATAGGATATCTGTGGTCTCCTATTAAGCTATTCATACTACTTTGTTTCTATGGTGTTATTTTTGTTGTCAATTATACCATCGATATTATTTATCGAGAATAAATTGCTATATCAAACTGCTTGATTTATTGTTTACCATGTTAGAAATATTTATTTGTGTCACTATATGGTATATGCGTTTTATAGAACTCCTTATGGGCCTATAGTGTCAAGTTCGCCTAGGGCCTCCCAAATCTCCGGACCGGCCCTAGGCGGAGGAGTCATTTACGGAGGATGAAACCGTCCGCGCAATGCGCGATCTCTGTGGAGATGGTGATGGGTGCATTACGCGATGGGTTTGTGGTCCAGTCCGTTGGATATTACGCGTGCCTGTCATATACGTTTGTTGTGCCAGAAAACAAGAGCACCATTACTGATTTTTTTAAGGACTTGTTTAGTTGGGGAAAAATTTTAGGTTTGGTTATCACATCGGATATACAGACACACATTTGAAGTATTAAATGTAGTCTAATAACAAAACAAATTACAGATTCTGCCATGAAACCGCGAGACGAATTTAGTAAGCCTAATTAATCCATCATTAGCAAATGTTTACTATAGGACCAAATTGTCAAATCATGGTGTAATTAGGCTTAAAAGATTCATCTCGCAATTTACACGCAAACTGTATAATTGGTTTTTTTATTCCACATTTAATACTCCATGCATATGTCAAAACATTAGATGTGATGGGTGAAAAGTTTTTATTTTGGGAACTAAACAACGCCTAAGTAGCAGAGATTTATATGATAGCGTGCGAGAGGGTAAAAAAAGGCAATTTTTGTTACAAGACATCGCAGGAAGGCACTTTTGGGGTAAGACACTCTATAAATGTGGTTATTTGCCAGAAGACACTCCAATTCTTAATCTTAAAGATTGTAAGATGGCTGTTAGAATTGCTTGGTCTTGTCTTTCCTTTTTTTGACTGAACACTCAGAAGCCTATGCTATCCACTCTCTTCCTCTCCTCTCTCCTTGTCTAGGGTTCATCCCCACACGGTCGTCCTCTCTCCTCCCTTCCCCAAATATTCCCAAATCCACCCCAAGATTTCGTGGGCATTGCATTGGGCATCAATTTGTAAGGTAAACCCCCTCGAAAAACCCAAATTTGCTCAACCGGGCTTTCATTTCTCTTGTGTATTTTGGTTGAAACCATGGATTGATAAATTTGGCTCGAGATGCGGTGTGAATTAAGGAATGTGGGTAAGAATGTAATATTGTAGTTCAATCTTCATGTTGGTATGGACGATTCATATACGGTGTTGAGAATTTAGTTATAAGGTTGACCTCCTTCAAAAACCCTAATTTCCCTAATGTTTTACTTTGTATTTTGGTTGATTTGGTTCTAACCGTGATTTGGGGAATATGGCTCGGGATGTATTATCAATCGAGGAGTATATAATATGTACCTATATATTATATGGAGGAGAGACCAATTCGGTTGCATGATAGATTAGTTCTAGGATATGTTCTAGTATATATGTGATAATGCTTATTTGTAGTTTGGAGTTGAATAGATGGTTTGATGAAAAAACCGACTTATGTTAAATTTGTAGGTATAGTTGTTGGTTAATTGCAATTGATATAGCGATAAACATTTTTGCAATTTTAGGATATTAAGGAAGGGTGTTGTTAGCTATTCCCCTGAGCAGCTGCCAGCACCAGGTGTAAAGCGCCCTATGTGTTGGTGTGGGGATGAGTGTTGTTTTCAGCATAGTCATGACTAGGATACCTATGGCCAGAGGTACTGAATGTGCCGCAACTATGCATATAGCCCAGAGAAACCTAAGCATGTGCCTAAGGGAAAGGAGGGAAAGACAAAGATGGCAGTGAAGGTAAATTTGTTAATTTTCTATTGTTTCATCTTGAATATATGCAACTTTGTCGTGAAGATATAATTTGTGATGTAATGTATATGCACCTAAATCCCTCCTCCTCTTTGTGACTTTGTGGAGTGGATTGACAAGGAGATGGATGAGTTCCATACGAGTATGATTTGGCAATGGCGCGAGTGGAATGAAGAACGTGAGAAACGCCAATGCCAGCATGGGCAATGGAGAAGACTGAGAGGGAGAGGAGAGAAGAGTTGGAGCTAAGGGTGTTGGCAAGACACAAGAAGGAAGAACGCGCCGAATATCAGGCAAGAAAGTTGGCTAGGGCGCAGCGTGCAAAGGATGCGGGGTCGGAAGCGGCAAGGAAGGGCAAGTACCCTTGGTGCACCCAGTAGTGCAATGGAAGTTGTTACCGAAATTTCAATTCCTTAAGACATGTAATAGTGATACTTTGAGACGTTATCGCGTTGAACTATACGCGTGTAATAATGATACTTAATAGCCTTTTGCGTTGACAGTGTTGCGATTCATCGGAATCTTTACTCTAAGACATTGTATTCGGTTTGAATTCCCTAAGGCTTGTGATAGTGAAACTTTAGAACATTTCCCGTTGAAATATTCCGGTGATTCATAAGAGTATCCTATTTGACATAGTGGACAAGATCTTTTAATTAGAGATTTTTAGTGCTAGCTAGTAATATCATGTCTTTGTGTATATAGATAGGGTATTGTCACGCCCAGAAATTCCCGAATAGAATTCCAACCAGAATGTGCATTAAAACCCCTGTCCAGGACAGGCCAGACCAGGGTACACAAACGACAATATTGACATACAGATCCACGTCTTACAAACAAAAAGTTTTACATAAATACATCGGAAATTAAAGGGATGACTGAAACTAAGTCTTACTTGGATAGCAGCGGGCAACACCACTCCACAGGCATCCTCGACGGCACGGACGAAGTCTACTCCTCCGAGTAGCCACCATCTGACGCATACTCGAACTCTGGGGTTGGGAGATAGAGCAAGACTGAGTACTACCCACTGTACTCAGCAAGTCATACCGGAACGGAGGGTATGATGCAGAATATAACCAAAGACCCGTGTCCATTGCGCCAGGACCGATGACTAGCATATCTATAGACCTAGACTAGGTCCACATATACCCTTGTAACCATACTCTTTCGGTATCAATAAAACCAACAACTTGCTTGATAACTTAGGGTCATTATTCTAAGGAGTGAAGAGGGCCTAAACCTGCAGAAATATCTCTCTTCGTCTGATTGACATCTCCCTATAAAGAGACAACACACAAACAAGAGCCAGGAATACGTTTCTTATACTCCCTCCATTTCAGGTTATAAGACGTTTTGACTTTGGTCAAAGTCAAAGTACCTTAAGTTTGACTAAGTTTATAGAAAAAAGTAGTAACATTTTCAACCTAAGACAAATTTATTATGAAAATATAAATTTATTATTATAAATATTACTATATTTGTCTATAAACTTAGTCAAACTTGAAACAGTTTGACTTTGACCAAAGTCAAAACGTCTTACTCCCTCCATCTACTTTTGATAGTCATATTTTATCTTGGCACACAGACCAAGGATAAGTAATTATATTTATCATTCATTTAAATATGCTACTAGTTATTCGTCGTAAACAAGCGATTCATTAATATTTACATTTCTCGATACTCATGTAGCCAATCTTGTATGGAAGAATGGAGAGTCACGCATTAAATCTAATTAAGTCATTAAGAGGATAGGTTGTTGGATTGAAATATGACTATCAAAAATAAATTTTTTAGATTTAGAAATATGCCTATCAAAAGTAGATGGAGGGAGTATAACCTAAAACGGAGAGAGTAGCTTATTGTCAAATATTTATGGATGATGGCACTGTCCATATGAAAAATCATTAATTGGCTCAATCAGCTTTCCACATAAATCTATGTCCTAATACCAACGAACTGATCTTTTATGTGATGAGTTTGCTTCAGTTTCTTTGTTCTTGAATGCAGTAAAGTTTGGCCTTTTATCTTTCGGCAGAGCGAATTGAAAGTCATGCACAGCCAAAGATAATTTTGAATTTTGGCAAAGGTTAGGACAAGGAAAAACTGTATTATTTAATTTGAATTGTACACTTCGTCAAAAGTAATTCAACTATATATATCTGCCGTTCCAATAATGTTACAGAACTACGTAACATAACTGCAGTTTAATAATTACATTCTGTACAAGGTATATAGTCCTGTGGGTTTTTACCATTTTAATTAAAGTCCCTATATATATTGGCATTACCTGCCGTTCACAATTGTTATGGTTACATCGTTTATGCTACTAGGTGCAGTATTAGACAGCTCTCCATGTTTCACCCTTACATTAAAGAATGCTGGTTGTTTGGGCTCAGGTAGAATTTTCAACTCGCTTGAAAGCATCTTAACAACTGCGGACATGGTGGGACGATCAACCGCATTCTCTTGAACACATAAAAGTGCAACTTTCATACATTTCTTTATTTCCATCATTTGACCTTCACTTACTAATGATGGATCTACAAGTTCATGCCAACTTCCATCCTTCCATAGCTGCCATGCCTGCAACAAGTTTGATGTGATGAGCTATTGTGTGCAATTTCAGTGAATGAGAATTTTGAGCCATGAGCCAAGTTAAGGCGGGTTTCATAAAGCATATGCTATAATTTTTCAAAATGAAGACCGACTATCATAAAATTTTAACTATTATTGCACTCATGCATGCACAAACCGTGTAGTTCATACATATTCCCAGCAGTGTGCTCGATTATTGTGTATCTTTAAAATGAATATATTAGTCTCTTATACTAAATTTTTAAAAAAACTTACATAGCCAAGGAGGTTGAAGAAGTCCCCATATTGGTGAAACCCAGCGTTTCTTTTCCCACTAATAATCTCAAGAACCAGAACTCCAAAGCTAAAGACATCCGATTTCAGCGAGAAGCAACCCTCAGATGCATACTCAGGAGCCATATACCCACTGAAATCAAAACAAAATGCATGCACATGTTAAAACACCTCAGTCTGGATCCACCAAAATCATAATAAGAGATAAGTCTGTAGTACAACCCTCAAACGTTGGAATTGTCTTAAAAGACACCCCTTAACTATGTAACCGGATATTTTACACCCCTCGACATACTATCAAAACCAACCAAAATACCATGTGGGTTCAACACACAGCTTGGTTTTAATAATGGTTTTCATGATTTTGATATCGAAAAATATATGTTTTTTTTTCACTCACATTCAAATACTATTCACATATCATCCAAACTAGGAGACATAAGTAAAAAAAATTGTAATAATTAGCTGTAGCTTTTTGAGCAAAGGCCAGAATGTTATTCCATTATTAAAAAATACAAGTAAAAAAAAGAATTTGGATTTCAAAATCATGGAAACCACCATTAGAACTGGGTTATATTGCCCTTAGGTTGTACGTTGAGGGGTGTATGTGTTCGGTTTGGTAGAGTTAAGTAGTGTTTTTTAAGACAAACCAGATAGTTGAGGGAGTAAAATGAGCTTATCCCTAAATCACTTGGACTAGCTAAATAACAAATTTGAAAGGTGAATTAACTCTTACTAAGTGCCCACCACCCTTTTTGTATTTCTTTGGACATCATTTGAGTCAAATATCTTAGCTAACCCAAAGTCAGAGATTTTAGGATTCATGTCACGGTCTAGTAGAATATTGCTTGCTTTTAAGTCTCTATGTATGATGCATAACCGGGAGTGTTTGTGGAGATACAAAAGCCCTTGTGTTATTCCTTCTATTATGTTCAGGCGTGTTTTCCAGTTGAGCAATGCTGCTCTTTTCAGATCTGCATAGTGAAGTATAAGGATATATGTTACTATTTATTTGATGCTATATATATAGAAAATAACCACATTTTTTGAAAAACAATGTATAAGCATACCAAAGATGAAGAAGTCTAAACTCTTGTTTGGCATGTATTCATATATTAGTAAGTTCTCTTCTCCTTGAATGCAACATCCTCGAAGGTTTACTAAATTGGTATGTTGTAGCTTTGCAATAAGTTGAATTTCATTTTTGAACTCAACCAGGCCTTGACTTGAATGTGCAGCAAGTCGCTTAACTGCTACCTCAAGCCCATTGGGCAATTGGCCCTGCATTTTTTTTCAAACAAAGTTCAAGTAGTTCATACTTCAAGTAAACATGTATTGAAGATTTTTATGTGTGTGTATATATCTAATTTATTTTACCTTGTATACGGAGCCAAAACCTCCTTCTCCAAGTTTCTTATCTTCCGAGAAGTTGCTAGTAGCATCTTCTATCTGAGAGAAATCAAATAGCATAAACTCTGAATCGCTTTCTTCTAGTCTCCAAAGCTTTAATACTTCTTCTCTGGCCATTGTATCCTTTTTTCGCAACATTGATTTGTCTAAAGCAACAAATACGTTATTAAAAGGCTAATAACACAAGAGTAGTCTGTCAGAACTCAGAAACAATAATTATATTACAATTTAAAGATTTGATAAGTTGATTTCTATAACTCACGGTTTCTTAATCTCCTTATCCATGCAAAACAGAATATGACGACAGGGCAAAGTGCTATCAGTGGCACAAGCAAAGCAACTGTCAACACCTTCTTTCTCCCTGCAAGGAAATCTCATCTCCAAAAATAATTATACATTGCTCATAATTTTATTTTATATTCTCATTACACATGATGAAATAACTTCAATACCCCATTTGGTTGTGAGCGAGGGGAGTGGATACGGGCAGCGGCGTAATTTTTATCGTGTGGTGGGGCGTTGGCTTGGTTCGGCTCGGCTCGTGGCTGTCTGATTTTTTTAAACCGGCATCTATAGATTATCTAAAACTAGCACCTATAACACATGTTACTTTTACTTATCGTTATCGTAGTATACTTCTACAGCAACGCACGGGGTTTCACCTATAGTTGGCCATAAGGCCCGACAGCCCGGCCCAGGCACGGCATGGCCTGATCGCTGTCGGGCCCGTGCCGGCACGGCCCGGTTGTTGGGCCATGCCTGGGCCTATGCCTTGGCACGGTGGGCCGGACTGGCACGGCACAAACTTTAGGGAGGTGAAATAAACTTATTTTAAACCACCTATAAGACAAGGCACAAAGAATAGGGAGGATAAATAGACGTATTATTTGGCACGGCCCAAAGTGTAGGGACATTAAATAGACTTGTTTTAGTTATATATATGTCACAACCTAAAGAGGAGGGAGGGGAAACAAACTTATTTCAAAGAAAGCACAATGGACTATCCGTGCCTTCGGGCTGGTCCGGCACGGCCCGACCCTTATTGGGCCGTGCCTGGTCCACAGGTGGAGCACATGGGCCGGCCCGGCAAATCTTGGCCCGGGCAAGACCGGGACCAACTATAGTTTCACCTAGTATATATAGTATATATAAAAGGTGACTGTCCAAACATACCGGAACGTGTCTCCGTCACCGGCGGAGGCGGCGGTGGGCTCGATGGCGCCGTTGAGTTGATCTCCGACAGTGACCCGATCTTCAGCTTGGGCTCCCCGCCGTAGAACTTGTACGTGTCGTACCTGTAACCGCAACGGGCGCCGATGTTGCGCACGCCGGAGACCGAGCCGTTGAAGGTGGTGTTGCCGACGAGGTCCTGCAGGCACTGCCGGCAGTCGCCGCCGGACATGTCCGGCGTGCACTGCATCAGCGAGAACAGCGGCGGCGTGACGACGTCCATCCGCACCGTGGTGTACCACCTCACGGCGGCGGCCCCGCCGCCCGTGGAATTGTACGGCACGGCCCACTGCATCGTGTAGCTCAGGAGCGCCCTCACGAGGGTGACGAAGTCGGCGCCGCCGCCGCCACGCCGGGTGGAGCGATCGACGTCGTAGAGCCTCACCTGGGCCGGGTTGGCCGGAGAGGAGAGGAAGTCGTCGCCGGAGAAGTAGAGGAGGCAGGGGTCGTAGTAGACGGCCACCTCCTTGCTGTAGGGGCACACGCTCTGCGCGTCGCGGAAGGCGCGGGAGGCGCAGTCGGCGCACGACGACGACGAGGCGTTGGCGGAGGCGGTGTCGCCTCTGCAGAGGGTCAGGGCGAACACCCTGTCGGGCTCGGCGTCGCCGCCGCCGGCGGCGTCCTTGGCGAAGAGTGCGGGGGAGGAAGACGACGCGGTCGACGGGAGGGTCGCGGCGAGGGCCTGCAGGTTGGCCTGGTATTTGCTCCCGGCCGTGTAGTTGCCGCTGCTTCCGCAGTAGTGCTGCCATGGTGGGTCGCCGGATGCAATTGCAGCCAACGGAAGCAGCAGCATCACCAAGACCAGCGGCAGAACGGTCAAAATGGCCATTGCACAGTGACCGACACACTATATTACTCTAGTTTGGCACACATCGCGGCTGATATATAATACAGTTAGCCCATATTTATAGTGTGTCCACTGAAAATTATAGACCGCGTCAGCTACTTTGATCCATAATAAAAAAGAGGGAAGATGTGTGCCGGTGCTCTGTCGTCCAAACGGCGGTGAGGAAGGTGATACGTGTCCTACGATGTGACTTGTCCATAGATGGTAGAGGTTGGCAACGAAGAAAACCAGAACATCAAGAATAGGCCTGCAACAACGTGTCCCGATAGAGAGAGAAACGACAATGGCAAGCACTGTTGATGAACATGACCGGAGGAGTATACATCAAAACGCGTTACCGGATGAGGGGATTCCTTTTTCCTTGAACACGCAGGAAGAATGAAAGAGAGAGAAACAACGACTAACATAGTTTATTGTCTTCCCTACCCGAAACAAAAAAAACATATGAGGAGGGAAGGTGGGCGACGGTGCTCCAGTAATCAAACGGCGGTGAGTAAGGTAGCTAGACATGTCCCACAATGTGACTTATCCATAGATGGTGATCGGCAACGAAGAAAACCAGAACAACGGGAACACGACCAGCAACGGCATGGTCCCATAGAGAGAGAAACGGCAACGATGATCTCTTGTGGTGAACACAGCCGGGTGAGTACATCAAAACGTGTTCACGGACATAAGTTTTTTGTTTTCCTTGAACGCTCAAGAGGAAGGGAACATAGGGGAGAGGAGGGGCTCCAGGGAGTAGAGGGGCCATGGGAAAGCGGGAGCGAGTGCAATGAGAGGGAGGGAGGCAGGAGAGAAGGGGTGCCAAGGAGAAGAGGGGCTGTGGGAGAGGGGGAGCGCATGCAGCGAGGAAGAGATTTGGGGGGGGGGGAGAAGGAAGGGAGGCAAGAGAGGAGGGGCGCCAAGGAGAATAGGAGCCATGGGGGAGCAGGAGCATGTGCAGCAAGGGAGAGATGGGAGGTGCCGGTAGGGGGGGAGGCGAAGGCAGAAGTAGAGGCGCTTGGGAGGGAGGGGATCGGACGGACGAAAGAGAAGACGGAAGCTTTACGTACATAGATTAATTAGCGGAAAAAATCCGAATTACTCCCAAACTATCACAGTCAACCGAATTACCCCTAACTTAAATACCAAACATTTTACAGTCAACTATTCGAGCCAGACAAATAACCATTTGACTCCATCCATTCTTATTTTGGTCCTACGAGGCAGCAAGTAGTCAACAACTTTTTTAAAAAAGAATCGGTGGGACCAACCTATCAGATTCCCACCCCTCTCACTTCTCTCTATCCTAGCTTCCTCATTCCCCACCTTCTCTCTCCCTCTTCTCCCCTAGCTCAAGAGTGCGGTGGTGGCTGGCCCGTCAAGCTCGCCGGTTGTGCCTCCATCTCGTTAGCACAATAAGCACACTGCCATTGTGACACTCTCCCACACGAGCTCGCCCGATGCCTGACGGTGGAGCTTGCGCAGAGGTGGAGCCCAACCTCGCGTGTAGGTGGCGACAAGACTGGCGATGTCTCAAGCTTTCTTGCTCTCAAGGAGGCTGGTGAGCTTGGCTCCTCCTCGGCCTTCGATGTGATGAAACTCGCAGTCACCGCAGCTCCTCCTCGATCTTCGCGGGCACGCGGCTCCTCCTCAGCCTCTGTTGGCGTTCACGTGTTGAGGCTCTAGTAATATAGAACATCACCAATGGGACAAATTATAGGTGCCGAAAATTGTAAAATCAACATCTATAGACATTTTCCCACCTCCACAGGATGGAAAAATATAAACCGATACCTTTAACCAACTATGTATACCAGTTCTAGAGAAAACTGGACCAATACTTTATGTGCTTATTTTGTAAAAATACCAACAACTTTAATATATTATAGGTGTCGGTTAAACCAGAATATATAATATATTTTAGGTGCCGGTCTGTTAAAAATCCAGCACCCTTAAAATTCGAGTCACGCCAATGGTTGGGAGCGAGCTAAATCAGCTCCTTTCGCATCCTTATCCTCTCACGCCCCTCGCTTCCTTGTCCTCTCATGCCCGCGCACCTCGTCTCATCGCTCTCTCACCGCTCATTCTCTCGTCGCCTCCTCCCCTTGCCCTCCCCTTCCCCCTCTTGGTATTTGTTACGCACACAGATAAATTCACAAGAGTATTCCAAGCGTATCGAACACAAGGAACGTGTGTATCTCAGAACAGGATTTAACCAAGGACAACAACTAAATGATAGGCTTAGGATAGAGAATATTCCTATGGATTCAACTAGCTAATTTATGTTAAAGGTAAAACTCTATCGAATGCTTTGGGCACCGGCCCTTCCCTAGTCTACTGACAGGCTGAGTTCGGCCTTGAACTCTATTATGACTGTCACCACCTGCTGCCTACCTCACTTTCTGTGAAGCACACAATAAACGAAGCTAACCTCTACCCTAAACACTACGTCTAAGCTAAGCAAAGAAGCAACCTTTTCATTTGGTTTTTGTTTAAGTCATAAGTCACTCATACACTATTAATCCAAAGGCTAGGTTGGAGAAGTTTTTTTTATCTTATGTGCGGTACATGTATAACCACACCATTAAACTTAATACTTTATATCCATTGGCTTATAAGTTATATAAACCAAAAAAACTGACTTAAAAACCGAAGCCAATAATAAGTCTAAGCCTAAACAAAGAGACTCTTAAAAAAACCAAGTTAATATGGATTTACTTTTTTTATTTATTAGTGATTTCATAATGACTTTATCACTTTTTTGACTAACTAGACTTCACCACCCAGCTGCCACATTATCAAAACTTGACTGGTGTAGTCTAAAGATAAAGTACGGATCATGTTGAGAGTTTGCAAAGTATTACTAAATGATTTCACAAGTGAATTTCAAACCAAGATCACGTAGTTTCATTACAACGGAACCCCTCATATATGATGGGCGGTAACCCACATCTGTAACGGGTATATGTCCCATCTATTCTCATTTGTCAGTGACAAAGAAAACCTTATCTATGATGGATTCCATAAGTCATCTATACGTATAAGTTATGTACCGTCACTACTAGTCATGATTTTTTTAATTTTAAAGACACCAAAAATCCCTAAAAGAATTTTAAATTTTACTAGGTATCTAGTCGTGGTCACGCATCACTAACCATAAATCTACGATCTTTCCCGATTGAGCTTTGAGCCTACTTGGTGTAATTCCAAAACTTCCTCTTGTATAAAAGATATCAATACAAACTATCGGTAGTCAAAACTAAATTGGTGCCTTTTGTCTTGAATGAAGCCTGCAGCTTCTCTCATAAATTCATGGTTTTAAAACGTTGAAATTAAAAAAAGCTAGCTACTACATGTCTACATCTACTAGGAATAGTAGTACTATTACTAGCAGCCAGATAATAGCTTTATTGAAAAGCATTGATAAGGTCTTGAGACTTGAGTAGGTCAAGCACGATGACAAGTATATATTGACCCATAAAAATATCTTTCTATATGCAATGCATCCTGTGCTAATCAAACCCTACCAAGCTATTCGAGCTCGAGCTCACTAGGCTTGCGAACCTCAACCTATGCTTAAGTTTGGCTTGTCTGTAGCATTCGAGTCGTGCTCAAATTAAGCTGTAACAAATCAAACTCAAACAGATTGACAGCCCTATCTGTAGCTACCACACTTGTTAGAAATGTCCTGTCATCTTTGATGACGGGTCACAACTAACACCCATTATAGATGGATTCACTTCTAATCTTCTATGACTGGTATCCACATATGCATATATCAAACGTACGGGCTACTTTTAGATCCGTCCGTTAGATATTAGCCATTCGAAATCGGTAATATTGATCCATCACAAATGACCTGCTGTGCGTTCACGAATATGTGAGTGTTTAGGAACAAATATGGAATTTTTGTCCCGATATGTACTTAATTTAGTCTTTCACCTTTGATACATATTGATAATCAGGGGTGCTATTCCCTTTTATTTAGGATAAACAAATTAGAGCACAGTTGATAATTGGAAATATGAATGAAACATTGATCGGTATTTTCTTTGTCACAATTCAGCGACAACTTTATTTTATTATTTATAACAATTGGTAGCAATATGTGAACTATATTTAGAAAAGAGCACCTGTTGTAATAAAAAAGCTAATAAGCGCGCTTCTCGGATGAATACTTCTTCGGATTTTACATTAAAGAGCACATGAGCTGTGGTTTTCAATTCTCATTGGATCATCCTATATCCAGGTTTCTATAGGCTATTGTGTGGGTGATGCTATAACGTGAAAAACAATACGGGAATTCCTGATCATAGCGCGCGGTTTCCGATTTTCAATCTGAAGTTTCAATTCCTATAGCGTACGTTTCTAATTGTCCCGTACTGTTTCCACTAGAAATTCATCCCAATACACTATAAAAACGATTATTTTTTTACAAGAAGAAGCCCTTTAGATTGCAAAGAGACCGTACGTAACTGGCGGCATCTGCAAAAACTGATCTTCATTTTCGCATATACTTCTTCCGTTTCATATTATAATTAAGGCTTTCTAGCATTGTCCGTACAAATAAATATATTAATGAATCTAGACGTATATATGTGTTTAGATTCATTAACATCTATATGAATGTAGGCAATATTACAAATTCTTATAATATGAAATGGAGGGAGTAGCTCTTTATAAGACCTGCATGCCAAAATCAATTTTCTCTTTGCATGCGGGTCTATTAAGGAGCCTCATGCAAAAATAATCCTATTTTCTCATGCGGTCCTCTTAAGAGACCATATGCGAAAAGGGGACATCTTAAGTGATCCGCATGAAAAATATCATCCCTTTACATATTTTTTTTATCTCCCTCCACTCTCTTTTCCCTCTCATCATTTATTTATTTTTTGAACTCCTCTCCTCTCCTCTCCTAATTATTTACTTTCCTCTCTCTCGTCTGCTCTCTCTCTTCTCTCTCTCTATCCGAGTAGGAGCCAACGGCCGAGAGGGGTAGGAGTAGGTGCGGCTACGATGA